TCCCGAAATAATACAAAACTTTAATTTATCAAAAATGGGAATACAAATAGAATAATTTATCTTTATGTCAGAGATTATTATCAGAATAAAACTAGAAAAGGCATCTCTAGATAGACCGGGTTTACATATTTTTATCGTAGACCTAATTTTAAAAAATTTATTTATACATCGAGTCCACGCTAAATTTGTAAACCTCAGGTCTAATGCTAACACCAAATTTTCTAATTAGAAGTGTCCTTAATTTATTAATGCGGTGTAATCACTTTCAAAAACAGATCAAGAAGTATTTTTTACTCTGCAAATTATCGTCCATCGTGTGATAATATTTTGGTAATCTTGCTTTTATAGCTAAATTTAGTCATTCTTAAATAATTAAATACGGAAAAAATTTGTTGCACACAATTTTTCCGGGTTTTTTTCAACCACCGTAGTATTTTATGTATTATTGGCATAGTGAATCATCGCATAAACGCGACTACACCACAATTGTGTGACAGATCTTAAAGTGAACATTGTGATTTTAGTGTTAATATCATGAAAATTTTGAATTTTTTTGTTTAAAACAGTTAACAATATGAAAGCGTTACTTAACTATGATGAAATTTGTAGATTCAACCAATCAGGTTTCATAAAGGGAATCATCCTGAAATATTCTGAATTAGACTCGAGTAATTTTTGCATATCGCTATATTTTGATTAAATAAGTTTTTTTTTTTTTGAAAAGTAAATTGTTATTAGAAAAAAAATTTTTGAATTTTTGAGAAATTTGGGTGGGTCGGCAGGTAATGATAAAACTTGGTGTGACCTTAGAGATCAACTAAAATAATTTACTCACGCTCATAAATATTTACTGCTGAGGTGGAAACAATTATACGATTATTAGAGTTAATGTTACTCATAGCTGTACACTAATGTGACATTAATTTCGATAAAAAAAAACAGAAATTGTTATTTTTCATCATTTACTTCGTTTACTAGTATTGTACACTTAGATAAATCAGTTGAAGGGTAAAGTAATTGATTAAACGCAAATTTCTTATTTTATCTACAGTCCAGTGATAATCAACTATTTTCTTTTTTAGACTTCTGTTCCTGATTTTGTACAATGATGTTGCACAACTATCTAGTATCAGATCTTTGATATTGTCAGGTTTTGACATTGTCAGAATTTTATTGGAATTCTGTATTGTTGAGATCTAGTGCTATCAGAATTTTAGAAGTGATAGGATTTTGCAATATTTTTTTTTATTATCAAGATTATAATATTAATCATATTTTTTTCTAAAGCACAAAACACAAGGAGAGACATGCAAATCTACAAAAGAAGAAACCTGTGATTATATTCAAACACAGTGGGTTTCTGAAGACTTCAACACTGAAGATCTTAAATCATCCAATATATTCTAGTACTTTACAATAGTCAGTCCAAAGATAACATTTATTGAGAATCTTTTAGAAGAAAGATGTCAAAGGCGAATTGTAAACAAACAACTTCTTATTAATAATGACATCTCTTCAATACCAGCTCAATATTTAACATTATTGAAATCAGAGAATTTTGATCTATTTCAGATTCAATGCCTTCAAAATTATGGAATAAATTTGGGCAGTGGGCAGGTTTTGATAAGGTTCCTAATTTTAAAAAAAAATTCTGTTATCATTGTCATCATGTATGGACCAAAATTAACTATGCATACAAATTGCAAGTAGAGGATCAAAAAAATCCTCCAGATCTTTATAGTATCACAGAAATATTCCAACAAAATTGATATAATAAATTTTTATTGCAGAAGAGACAATAAAAAAAGTTGCAGGCAGTGTTTATCTTGATGGTTACAAATATATTTCTAAACCTTAATGTTTAAAAAATGTTGTTAGTAAAAAACTAATAGATTTTTTAATTTTACTAATCTTTTAGCTATTGAGACTGCACAAAGAATATTAAATAAATATTATAAACACACCCTTAGCAATTACTCTCATCAATCTAAAAACTTTGTTAAGGGTTTAATAGAACACTTTGGTTGTTTCACTGATAGCAACAATGAACTATATATCACTGTGAATACTGCATCTACAGACACATCACATAAAATTAGGCCGATTGTGATATCTTCAA